CCTTTTTGTTTGATGCTGATGGATTCTCGTACATGTTTAATAATACCTTTATCAAACCATATGTCATTTTCTCATTGACGATGTTGTAGGCGACCGTACTATTTCCCTCACATACAACTGCATCAGCTTGTCCAAGGACCACTTGATGTTGATAGGCAACAAATGTGCACACTTGGTCAACCGATCAATAATCACCCAGATAGCATCACTATTCCTAGCTGACCTAGGCAACCCCACAACGAAATCCATAGTGATACTATCCCACTTCCATTCCGGAATCTCCATCTGCTGCGTCAACCCACTAGGCTTCTGATGCTCCACCTTCACCTTCTGACAGGTTAGACAGGCTGCCACATATTCAACTACCTCCCTCTTCATACCAGACCACCAGAAAGTCTTCTTGAGGTCTTGGTACATCTTAATCATACCAGGATGTATGCTAAGTCTGCTCTTGTGGCCTTCCTCCAACATAGCTCTCTTCAGCTCAACATTATGAGGTAGGCAAATTCTGCCCTTAAACCTCAAGATTCCATCTCCGCCCAGCTCAAAACCAACAGCCTTCTCAGTACCCAGCAAACCAAGAAGTTTCACCAGCTCAACATCTTGCAACTACTTTTGTCCAACCTACCCCAAGAACTCACTAGTTATGGTAATCATCCCACAACTAATGTGATCCTGAGCTAGCTCCACACAGAGATTCAAATCTCTAAACTCCTCACCAGCTCCAGCTCCTTCACTATCATACTAGACAAGTGGATGGATTTCCTACTCAGCGCATCCGCCACAACATTGGCTTTCCCAGGATGATACATCAACTGGAAGTCATAATCCTTCAGAAACTCCATCCATTGCCTCTGCCTCATGTTCATCTCCTTCTGATCAAACAGGTACTTCAGACTCTTGTGATCACTGAAGACGCTGAACCGAGCACCATACAAATAATGCCTCCATATCTTCAAGGCAAACACAATTGCTGCTAACTCCAAGTCATGAGTAGGATAATTCCTCTCATGGTTCTTCAGTTGCCTTGAAGCATATGCCACCACTTTCCTGTTCTGCATCAGCACACACCCCAAATCCTGGTGAGAAGCATCACAATACACATCAAAAGGTTCACTAGAGGCGGGCAATACCAGCACAACACAAGCACAC